GTCGAGGCGCGATATAAAGCGGCTTAGAGCAGCCATGCAGCCTGTAAGCTTTTGTATGTCCTTTTATGCAGGTTGGACGTTTCATGTTGGTGATGGCAGAGACCTTGTCGGGGTTGGGTTTGATGCCACGGGCACTGATGATGTAGCCCAGGAGTATACCAGATGGAACTCCAAAGATGCACTTTGAAGGGTTCAGCTTCCATCGGTACCTTTTCAAGTTGGCGAACGTTTCTTCGAGGTCAGCGATGAGATTATCGGGGGTCTTGGACTTGACGACCACATCATCGATGTAAGCTTCAACATTGTGGCCGATCTGTTGGTTGAGGCACATCTGGATGGACCTTTGGTAGGTTGCCCTGGCGTTCTTGAGTACGAAGGACATGGTGGTATAGCTACACGCATTGAAAGGCGTGATGAACGATGTCTTGATCTAGTCATCTTCCTTCAGGGATATCTGATGATAGCCAGAGTAATAGTCGAGGAAGGAGAGCAGTTCATAGCCAGTGGTGGAGTCTACAACCTCGTCTATTCGAGGCAGACCAAAGGGGCCTTTAGGGCAGTGTTTGTTAAGATCAGTGTAATCAACGCACATTCTCTATTCTTTATTCTTTTTTTGAACGAGAATAAGGTTTGCTAACCACTCGGGATGATACACTTCTTTTATGAATCCGATAGCTAGGAGCCATTTTATTCCTACCCTAATAGCCTCCTTCATGTCTGGCATGAATCATCGGAGTTTCTACTTGATCGGTTTGGTGGTCGGCGAGACATTCAAGGAGTGCTCGATCTTCTCCGGTGGTACCCCCTGCATGTCTGTAGGTTTCCAAGCAAACACGTTGGCGTTGGCACATAGGAAGGAGACTAGCGTGCTTTCCTATTTGGGGTTGTGGTGAGCCCCAATCTTCATGGTTTTGGAGGGGTTGTCGAGGCCAAGGCCGACGTCCTTGGTTTCCTTGGACTTGGCAGAAGCGTGAGGAGGCTCCAACAATGGGATCTCCAGGTCATCGGCGGGCACAGTCTTAGTGTCGCTGACCATGCAAGCCATCTGGATGGAGAGGTTGGTGGCTTCGGCGAGGGCAAGACTCTGTCTTGCAGGCGTAGGCGATGGAGAGGTTGGCTCGTAGGGCCAGGACTCCTACAAGCGAAGGCATCTTTAGCACCAAATAGGCGTAGTGCGGTACGACCATGAACTTGGCCAGAGCTAGCCAACCAAGTATGGTGTGGTAGGTGGTGTTAAAGTCGGTGATGTAGAAGTTGATGTGTTTAACGTGGTAGTTGCAAGCCATGCTGAACTGTACTGGTAGGGTGATCTCTCCAAGTGGTTTGGATGCCATGCTAGGTACCACACCCCAGAAGGAGGAGTCGGAGGGTGTGAGATCTGCTATCTCGAGGCCTAGCTCATTTAGGGCTCCGACGAAGCGGAGGTTCAGAGCGCTCCCACTATCGATGAGCACTTTTCTGAAAAAGCACTTTCTAGATGGTTGCATCAAGGATGAGGGGGAAACGCCCTATGTAAGGGATGTCCGCCCACTGGTCAGCCCTATGGAAGGTGATGGGGACCTCGGACCAGGGGCGATAGCTGGGGTTGGCGACGATGTCTTCCATGTTGACGGCAAGCACCCGATGGGCGGTGAGCTTCTGCTCTCTTCTGCTTTCGGCAGAGGTGAGGCCCCCGAAGATGGTGGTGACCACCTTATCGTCATCCTGGAAGGCATTGTTATTGCCCCTAGGTGGTCGGCGACCTCTGGCTCCATCGTTGTTGTCATCATCTGGCTTTTTAGCCTAGAACTCCTTAGCCAAGCCGAGGTAATCCTTCATCTTATGCTTGTCATTCTTATGGAGAGGGCACGGGCCATCGAGGATATTCTTGTACTACTCGTCATAGTTGTGCTTGGCACAAGGTTCATCAACGGTGGTGACGATGTGGTCTGGTCGGCGGCGGCGATATTGACTAGACTTGGATCCTTCTAGCTGATCATGGCCACTATCCCGATGGTGACTGTGGTCATCATAGCGGTGGTCACTATGGTGCTAGTCGTCGGGGTGATCTTCGTTGCGGCGAGTTGGGCGATGAGGGCCCACATCCTCATTGAAATGCACTTCGGCTTCTTTGGCATCGACGTACTGGTTGCCAGTCATAATCATCTCGCCAATCCCCGTGGGCGGCTTGCAGTTGAACTTGGAGCGGAGATCACGGTGATGGAGTCCTTGGACGAAGGCGATGATGACCTCAGCTTCCGTGCTATTAGGAATAGAATTCCTCATCTCGAAAAAGCATCTGATGTAGCTATGGAGGGGCTCGGACGGCTTCTGATAGATGCGGTTCCGATCATGCTTGGTGCCCGGCTGAGTACATGTAGCCATGTAGTTGTTTGTGAAGACCTTCTTCAGCTCTTCCCAAGATCCGATGGAGTCTAGGGCAAGGCTTGTGAACCAGTTCATCGTGGTTGGTGTGAGCATGATGGGAAGATAGTTTGCCATGACACTGGTATCTCCTCCGACGGCCCGCACAGCAGTGGCATAAGCCTATAGCCACTGTGTGGGGTTCATCCTTCCCTCATAGGGCTCGACCCCAGTGATTTTGAAACCATGGGGCCACTGTAGTGTTTGGAGTGCCGTCGTGAATGCTGGGGGCCCTTTAGGATTGTCGGCGCCATGATCTACAGCGTTGCCAGCGTTGAGTGGCTCAAGAGCTAAGTCCAGGTTACCAAACTCTTGCTCATACTCTTGACGGCGGTGTACTTCTCTTCATGGCGACCGAAGCGGCGCTCGTCGATACGTCATCGTGCGTCTCAGAGATTGTTGAGGTGGAGTCAGACGTCCTAGTCGACCTCCAGGTCATGTTGGCGAGGGTGTTCGATGTGGTTGCCCCTAGCTCCCCCCTAGAGGGGTTGCCTATCGTCGTGGTGCTGGTCGGTGAAATGACTTGGGCGGCGATCAGATCTTGGCATGGCTGATTGGCGAATCAAGCTTATGGAGTATGAAGGTCTCTCATCCTGGTGGATCTTGTTGACCTGACAGTGCACCACATTAAGCATGGCTGTGACCTTGGTGACCTTCAATGTCTGCAGGAGCCAGGAGAGCTCGTTGGCGGCCATGACCAAGTTGGTCCTTGGGGTCTTGTAGACGTTGTGACCGCAACACGGACAAACTCGTCGTCGAGGTTGCGTTGGAGTTGGCGTGGCCTTCCTTGTGAGTCGAGCTATGCCTTGGCCATCGCAAGGGCAGTCTCATTTTCTCAGTGCTACGCACGGTTGATGTTCCTATTGATGCAGGCAGCACGGTCCTCCTCAGTTTCCCCTTCTTGTAGGGGGCTGTCGATGCTGACGTTGAAGCTTGCACCTCCACGGAAGGGAGGGAAAGGAAGTTGTTCAGTGGTGGTTTCGGCGACAGTCTTCGTAGAGCCCTAGGACTCAGAGTCTAGATTCTCCTTCAGGATGGTTTGGAGGGATGCTGTAGGGCGTCGGCTGACGTGTAGCATGTTGACAGCCGACGGGAGCTGGTCGGTGATCTGGTCAGCGAGAGGATGGACATCTCCAACCTAGATAGCGAACTTGCCCCTTAGGGCATGTTGGTAGGTAGCGGTGACACCGGTGAGCCCAAAGGGTAGGGCCGTAACCCCTAGAGTTTCCTGAGTAGCCTTCAATAGATTTGGATCAGAGGGTGGTCGGTGCTGAACCAGAGTGTCTAGAGCCAATTCTGCGATGGAGAGGCAATTGGCAAGCTTCTGGCCAACCTGATCGATGGATGCGATCAGATCGTCGTTGTTGATTTGCCTCCTCTGATAGAGATGGAGTGGGCAGCGAATTGTCGATGAAGGCAACCTCGGAGGTAGTTCCGAGATCAGATCTGCAGTCACAGGTGTTGGGGTGATCGACGCATAATCGATCTACACCGACTCGATGAGCTCTCTGACTCCGTCAGCATTGATGATCCACGAGATCGATCTGCCCGTGAAGATCTGACCAGGCTATGGGAGGGACGACGAGCCTGTAAAACGTACCATCTTGTTTGACATGGAAATAGCATGCACACCCCTATCTGGTGCGCCAACTGTCGATAGAATATCATCAGTAGTCCTCCGAGGGGTATCCCATGAAGATAGATTGATCGGTAGAGATGCGTGTAATCGAGAACAAGAAGGCAATAGAGACACACGAGTTAGACAGGTTCAGGCCATCAGTATGATGTAATACCCTACTCCTATGGTCTGTTGGATTGTATTGGCTATCGTATGATATTATGTGTGTTTGGAGGGGGTCCCTGCCCGCCTTATATAGTCCAGGGGCAGGGTTACAAGTCGGTTAGATCTAGGAGATAACTGGAAAGTAATAACAGATTACAGGAATCATGAGATCATACGTATCCTAACAAATCTCATAATATCTTTAGGATATCTTTCTGGTGTCTTGCGGGAGACACCGAGCAGCGTCGTGCCCCGCAAGGCTTCATCTTGTGGGCTGGGCCACCCCTAGGGGAGTAGCCCATGTAGTCTGCCATGGGTATCCTAGGTCGTACCCCCACAATATTTGATCTCGGCAACTTCAAATATTCTATTCAGACGCTTGTAATCTTTTCCAAGAATTTTGTCCATCAAATCTTTCTCTTTCTTCAAAAACTTGCCTAGAATCTCAACTGCCTTAATTTCAACAATAGAAACAAATTCTTCATCTCTTGTGTACTTCTTCGTGCGAAAAGCTTCTTTGTCAAGATAAAAATAATCTTTCCACCTCACAACTTTCTTATGAAAACGAATAAAGCTCCAACCCTTCTTGAGAGGCCAAACTCGAGTTGCAATATATTCTTGGCAAAAAATCATGAGCACTTTGCAGACTAGCAGTCAACATGTAAGCCTTTTCATAAATCTTTGAATTCTTTGTACTCAGAAATTCAGGCTTACAATCAAAAATATTCTTCCCCATATTTGTAGCCAATGGATAGAGCTTCACAATCTTTCTTGACTCATCCCTTTCTTCAACCATTGGAACTATATGGTAAAATTAGTACCTATACCAATTTTCAACCCATTTATTCTTGGAAGCAGGAGAAATTTGCTTAGCACCTCGAGCAGGTTTAAAATTGCAACGACCAAAGTACTTAATAATAGTCTTCCCATCCATATTCTTATTCCTAAACTGAGTATGCATCTCATGAAGAGCACCAAAAGCCCTGATATCCAAGTTTACATCTTGTGACTTCATTGCCCAAACAAAATGAGTAATCTTCGCTATTCCATTAGAAGTCAAATGATGCATTTCTATGTTATATGCCTTTAGAAGTTCTTCAAGAAAATCTTGACACGGCATACGAAGTCCAGCAGCAAATTGATCTCGAAAAACCACACATTCATAAGGTTTCAGATCAAGAACTACTTCATTCTCAGCCAAATGAACAGATGCCATCTCCACCATTCGATTAGTCACCATCCAATCTAATTCTTTATCATCCATCAAAGTTTTACCAAACTTCAAAGACTTTGTATCATCACCAACCAACTTGGACTTGGATACAAAAACATCTGATAAATCCTCACCCAAATCAGAGTGATTAGATCCAACTGGAGAATTTGTAGAAGCATTCTTCTCTTGATCAGACATCTAGAAAAAGAAACGTCTCAGCAAGATAAAAATAATAAACAAAAAGAAAGAAACATAGAAACAAACGAATTAAAAAACTAACCTTAGTCAATCAAACTTTCACCTCTAAAAAGAAATAGTCTTCGGAAAAGAGTTTGGCTTCGCAAAAAATTTTGACTTCTTTTCAAAGAAAATTTTAGTAGCACCTCCCTGTCTTTGATGAAGTAGTAAAAACAGGAGGAGGGGATGAAGTATATATAGGCGGCTTCAGGCCAAACCTGGCAGTTCAGCTTCCGCCAGTCAAATACGACCATTGCAATTCAAAAAAATAATTGTTCACAGTCTAACGGCTATAAAATGGCCAACTCCAAAGTTCGGGACGACATTTTCTGTCTTCACTTTAAATCTAAACTTTGCGGGTTTAGACCTTTGAAGTAGGCCTTCGCCCACGAGGGGCTGTTGTTGGGGATTTAACTTCACCAAGAAAACTCAGCCCTGAAAACTTCAGAGTTGAAATAGTGATTTCCATAACAAAGTTTGCCTATAGGGAAGAGAAGCAGAGCGAAGATGAAAATTTAACTTCGCAAGAAGGAATTCGTCTTCGCTGAACAGAACTCGTCTTCGCCAAAAAGAAGAAGGAAACAAAAACCAAGCGAAGACAAATATTTGGCTTTGTTTGATATTCTGGAGTTGCAAAAGAGACGGAGTGAAAATCAACTAAGTCCAAGAGACGAAGACATTAAGAAGGTTGAAGACCAAAAGTTGAAGAATGAAAGCTTAGATGAGGAAAAGGACCACTTCACCCTTGTAGTTTAAAAGGGTTGTAACTATTTGAGTTAGGGGTAAAATAGTTATTTTGTGTAAAGTACGAAGACTGGTGTCCCTATAAATTCCCCTTCTGACATGTATAGTACGATCATGAAATGAATACAACTTTGCCTTGTGTTCAAACTTTGATGCTTGAGTGATTTCTTACCCAACACAGCATATTGTTTACACCAAAATTTGGAAGAAGAATTGCAGGAACTCGAAAGCTCCCAAGATCGTGTCATTGAGGAATCGATCACGTAAAGGTCGGTATCAGCTAATTTGAATATAGTACCATAATCGACTCTCTTCGGATAGCGCCAGCAGATAATGGTGAAAAACTGTGGTTGGTGTCAGAAAAAACATGTTGGACTCTACAAAAAGGGAAAGATTAGGGTCCAAGTTATCTTAAATTAGGAATGTTTTCTCTTATGCCAAAGATTGTAATAAATCGTGCTTAAGTAGGATTCATGCATAGGTTCCGGTTATAAATATTGGACCCCGGCAATTGTAAAGGACACACAATCAATCAAATACAAGTTACTTACTTTTTCGGCTCCGGCCACCCCTTAGGAGTAGGAGTAGAGTAGATCTCGGTGAGTTCTTCAGCGAGCAGGGATGCATCGGTCTGGCCGACCTTCGGCTTGTCCGTAAGTACCATCATGGCTTATACTTCTATTCATACGGCTGCATCGATCTGATCAACCTCCACTACTCGAACTAGATTAAGGTCAAGATATCGGCTCTATCTAAAGGTGGCGTCCTTTGGGTAGATTCATTAAGTTATCGATCTTACTGATGTTTTCATTGTTATTAGTTTATAGCAACATCAATTCGCCCGATTGAGATCAAATTAGATTGGCCTCATATCCTTTAGATCCGTCGTTCATTTGTTACAACACGATATTATCTACCTTGAACGACGGTTAATGTTTCATTGGCTGTTTTACTTCGATCTTGATCGTGCATAGTTCGCGGTTAAGGCATGCATAATCTTGAAGAGGTCTGCTGGCTAGTTGAATCTAGTTTATGGTTCACAATTATGGCTGTAACGATCTGGTTGATCCCCACTGATGGCACTATAGATTGGAGGATGCTAGTTAGTGGATTTGTTCCTGGTTAGGCGTGACTTTAGCTATTTGCTATGCCCGCATTGGCTAAATAGCCGATCGCCTATGCGTTAACGCCTACAACATGTTTACATGATTCCGTTAAGCGTGAGTAGATCTGTGTACTTTAAGGGTTTGATTCATTGTCTTTTTCATGGCTGCATCGATTCGGTCGAACCCTACTGTTAGAGATAGCGGGTTGAGTCTGAGGGGTCCATAGGTTTGTTCACATGAAACAGTCGATTGTTCACACGCTGTAGTTCTCTTCATCTGAATCAGCGATTCATCCAAGCCTTCTCGTATAGCATGTCTTTCGTAAAGTCTGTCGAAGTGTAGATGGCTTTATGGATTCTTCAGTTTTAGTTTGTTATTATCATCATAGCTGCCATCGATCTAGTTGAACCTCACTGTTGATGGTAACATATTGGATTCAGAGCGTCTGTAGATCCATTCATATTAGATAGTCAATTTGCTCGCGTGCTATATCCTTTATCGTCAGATTCATCAGCTCAATAATTCATATTGATAATATCCACCTAGCTGATGATCTCATTTACATATACATGTACTATACCTGTCAACATAAAATCAATCGCTACCCATGAGCTTTATAGTTCGTAACAGCCGATTTCTGTGTGGATCGACTATACAGTCACTTTTTCCCGTATGGCCGCTCCCGAAGTAGCACACTTGGAACTGTCTGGGCACAGACCGGCATGTTCCACCTTAAATTACTGATAAACTTTCTCTCCTTGTCAATTACAGAGTCAAATTGACTAGCATGTCTCGGGAGGAGTACGCAGGATTGATCATCCCTGCGTTGAAGCGAGGCAGATCTCTAGCTCCATCGAGCAGACCCTTCTGGCTTGCTTGTGTGCCCGGCACGATTGACACGTTTTCATGCTAACACACGTTGTGGCACGCCTGGTGGGACCCCACAATCATCATGGTGGCTTACAACAACAACGACATCCTTTTGGTACCTTATGAAGATTACCTGATGGAGATAAAGATATCATCAGCAAAGCTATAGAAAAATTTCAAAACAAGTGTTTGTTGTCCTACACCAAGAAACATGACAATACAATTGTTCAGAAATATCTACTACCGAGAGTTCTGTTGCATGGGTAGACAAATGCAGATGAAGCTGAAGACAGGCGTTTCTTCGTGGAAGCTGTAAACAAATCTGTTCATGATGCCATATCAAATCATAATGAAGTTTTCTTGAACACATTCCACAAAACCATGAAAGAAGTGTTTCATGGGTTTCCAGTTGATCAGGTTGGACCGATTTATTACAACATTCCACATCCATTGACTCAAGGGACTAATCAAACCGGTACCATCCATCAAGAAGTAGCACCAGCAAGTAATGATGATGTCCAGGTAGTTTAGAGTTCATCTGAGCAAGTTCAAGGTGCTACTATGAATCAGATACAATATAATCCTGGATCATCAGTGCAGCGTGTGCAACAGCCGGTGGGGCAAGGTTAGAACCAGATGACTAATTTTGGCACATCAGGCCACATACCATCGTCGGCTAAAAAATAGCACCATCAATTCAAAGGATCCATAGAGATATATATCCTAACGTCTATAACTAGAGACTTCAAGCAGCAAACCAGCAAAGAACCTAGCAGATAGAGATTCCATGGGGATATCATTATGGCACAGATTATAACAACCTTCACATGATTCCAAATCCAATGTATCAAGGTACATGGGATTTCAATCCATAGATGGGTCAGCAGGTGCAGAGAAATCCAAATTCAAATGATGATGAGTTGTTGCTGAGAGTGACCGAGATGATGAAGAATCAGTTCGGTTTGAAGCCAAAAGGGCAGACCTTCTTGTACAAACGCCCATATCCAGAATGGTATGATTTGGTCACTCTTCCTACAAATTATAGGCTCCTAGAGTTTGCTAAGTTCACTGGCCAAGACAGCACAAACACAATAGAACATGTCAGTCGGTATCTTACACAATTGGGTGAAGCATCCGTTGAAGAGGCCCATCGAGTTCGTTTCTTCTCCCTGTCACTGTCAGGTCCAGCCTTCACTTGGTTTTCATCACTACCAGTCAATTTTATTGCCAATTGGGCTAACCTAGAGAAGAAGTTTGATATATATTTTTACACTAGGATAGGAGAAAAGAAGATTACCAATTTGACAACTATAAGACAGAGAACTAATGAATCGGGCATTGAGTTTCTTCAAAGATTTTGAGAGACTAGAAATCTGTGCTTCTCACTAAACTTGACTAATGATCAGCTAGCTGCTTTGGCCATTCAGGGAATGTTGCTGACATGGAGAGAGAAGCTGCTGGGACAAGAGTTTGATAACTTGGGTCAATTGGCTCAACGAGTGGTAGCACTCAATAGCCAATTCCAGAATCTGTGCAGAGATACCCGATTCCAGAAAAGTACCACAATGGCTGAAGCCTATAATTCATATTCAGTCAATGACGGCTATGAAGATGATGAAGAAGAGGTTGCCATGGCCGAATGGAATTGGGTAAGAAGACAGTAATGGTGTCAAATCCTTGGGGAAGAGGAGTCAAGGATAGCTATGACTTTGACATCACAAAATCAGACAAGCTCTTCGATTTCTTGCTTGAGAAGGGGCAGATCAAGTTGGACGATAATCATGTTATGTTGCCCCCTGATCAGTTGAAGAATAAGAAGTTCTGCAAGTTTCATAACGCTACATCCCATTCTACTAATGAATGCAGAGTTTTTCGACAGCATATACAGAGGGCTATTCAGCAAGGAAGGCTTAAATTTGATACGCCTCAGAAGATGAAAGTTGACGATAATCCTTTCCCAGGAGATCAAAACATGGTCGATGCTAGGCTGCTCAAGGGGAAGACTAAAGTCCTAACATCAAATAGATCAAGAGAAACTAGGACGGTCGATCCCGAGATGCAAATATCGGTTGATGAATATAGAAAGATCAGAAGGCATCGTGATGAGCAAAAGAGCCGATATGAGTAGGGAGAAATGTCAAAAGATGGGGCGACAAAGCCGCGTGTTACATCTTGAATTTTGTTGAATAAATGGCAGTGGCAGAAGGAAAAGGATTATCAGCACTGGCTACAAGAGCAAGA